GCCGGCGCCGCGGAGACCCGCCGCTGGCCATGGGCACGGAGGATGTGCTCAGGGAGGAGCTGGGCAGCCTCCACGGCATCCCCCTCTACAAGAGCTTCATCGAGGGCTGGCCGCAGGTGGAGGCTTTCCAAGCCCGGCCGGATGACCTGCTCATCGCCACCTACCCCAAATCAGGTGAGTGGGCCTGGAGAAGGGTGCAGGGGTGAAATGCTGGGGTTTGAACCCCAAGCCCCCGAATTAAGGTTGACATATGTGTTACTCCCACAGCCCTTCATAAAGAGGTGGTGAGTTTGCCTTATAGCTTCCCCCCAGGGTGCGGCCGGGCGCGGGAAATGAGCCCCAGGGGTCCTGCATTGAGTTGACAAAGGTCCAGGAGTCTGCTTGGGGATAAAAGCTGGGACCACTTGCAGGGAGTCAGGAGTGTCTGTCTGTGGAGTGCACTCCACAGAGCTTCCTGGTTCAGGGCAGACCTCCTGACTCTGCCTGGAGCTGGGCCCTGGTCTGTTTAGGCCTTTGCGAACGCGGGTGGCTTGGGTGAGAGACGCCATGTGGGCACATTTCTCTTATGTCTTTAACTTACTGGTCTGGCTGTTTCCCATACCAACGATGGGCACGCTGGGCTCACTGTTTATACCGCCTGTTGTGGGCTGAGTCACGTCTTTTGTGGGATCATTGGGGGTGGCATCGCTTATGTACAAGCTGATTGATCTGTTTGTACCCCCAGCGATCATTCATGGACTGTCCTTTTTGTCTACAATACAGTCTGTGTATTGGATTCTCTTTCTGCTGGTGGTATCATTTTTGTTGGGCCTGGTCATTGGCAGAACAAGGGGGGACGGGGTGGTGGCAGCCCGTGTAACGCTGTCCCTGTGCGGCAGGCACGACGTGGCTGAGCGAGATCCTGGACATGATCTACCAGGATGGCGATGTGGAGAAGTGCCGACGGGATGCCATCTACAACCGGGTGCCCTTCCTGGAAATGAAGGCCCCTGGGGTGCTGAGTGGTGAGACCAGCTGCTCCCATGGGTGGGGTGGGGAGGAGGCCTGAGCCAGGGTGAGGATTTGGGGGCACACATCCCTAAGCCCCCTGTCCCACAGGTGTCGACCTGCTGGAGAAAACTCCATCCCCACGGCTGGTAAAGACCCATCTCCCTGTTCAGCTTCTCCCGACCTCCTTCCAGGACAAAGACTGCAAGGTAATGTCACAGGGGTTCCCCACCTCTCTCCCTGTCTGGGTGGCAGGGACGGGGCACTGCTCTGCACACTTCAACCACATGCTCACTGTCTTCAGGTCATCTACGTGGCCCGCAACCCCAAGGATGTTGTCATCTCCTACTACTACTTCTACCAGATGGCCAAGATGCACCCTGACCCTGGCACACTGGACGAGTTCCTGGAGTCGTTCATGGCTGGCAAAGGTGATGGCTGAGCTCCAGGGTGCCCACCCTGCACCACCAGTGGGGTGGGTGTCCCCTGACACCTCACTTCTTGGCTAACCCCTTAACCACATCCCACAGTGGCCTATGGGTCCTGGTATGAGCATGTGCGGGGCTGGTGGGAGAAGAAGCAGGAGAAGAAACTCCTCTACCTCTTCTACGAGGACATGAAGAAGGTGAGAGTGGGATGGAGGGATGTGCACCCCGGTTGTCCCCTCCAGCCTTTTTGGCAGCCTCCCCATGTCACCTGCCCTGCAGGACCCACATCGTGAGGTGCAAAAGATCCTGCGGTTCCTGGGCAAGGACGTGGCCGAGGGGACAGTGGCAAGGATCCTCCACCACACCTCCTTCCAGGAGATGAAGAAGAACCCTGCTGCCAACTATGAGACCATGCCCACCGCCCTGATGGACCATAACCTCTCCCCCTTCCTCCGGAAAGGTGGGGTTCAGACAGTGCTGGAGGGTTGGGGAGGATTGTCTCCAGGCTATTTTGCAGCCCCTGTGCATGGCTGCAAACAATTTGGGGGTGTCAGGATTCACCTCACTTGCTTTCTTGCCCCCAGGAATCTCTGGGGACTGGAAGAACCACTTCACTGTTGCCCAGAATGAGCGTTTTGACCAGCACTACTGGGAGCACATGGCCGGCTCCGACCTCTGCTTTCAGATGGAGGCATGAGAGGCTCTTTCACCCTTCCTGGTGGGGCTCAGCTTCTCCTTGCTCCCTTGTTGGGAAGGGTGGGTCCAGACAGAGCATCCTCATGGCAGCTTGCTCTTCTCGCTACAATAAATTGGGATAACAAGAGGGTGAGCCATTGCCTGCAGGGAAAGGGGGGATGGCTGAACACCCCAAATCCAAGGCAGTGGCAAGGGGCATCCCCTTGTCAGTGCGCAGGAGGGTGGGTGCATGTGGTAGACTTTAAGCCGGTGGGGGTGGGCACCACAGGAGGTGCTGTCCACTACATCCTCCCAAAAACCACCGCTGGCTCCTGACACCTTGGGCCACCCCAGCCCTGCCCTGCCAAGATGTCTGGAGGGAGCAAAGTTCAGCACAGCACGGAAAAACCCCAAAGTGCCACTGAACCTGCTGTCCCCACAGCTCTTGGGTGTGCAGGAGCTTTCACGCCTCCAGGTCATAGCAAGTTTCTTGACAGAGGGGGCGGTGGCAGGGCTCGCCCCAGGATCCTTGGCCCAGCCGCAGCTCCTCAGCCAGTGGTTTGCAGAGCAAGGGTGAAGGACAGCACCTCCCTGATCGGCAGCGTCGCCGCCCTCGCCGCATGGGCAACCCTCCCTCAACCTCCAACCCAGCTGCATCCAGCCCTTGCTCAGGGACGCCTGGAGCAAACCAGTCCCTGTCCCACTGGGGGCAAGGGTTTGCTTTGGACCCCAGATTCCCCAGTTGGGAATTCCCCAGAGGAGAGCTCTCCCACAGGGATAATTCCTTCCTGAGCGTTTATTTATAAACGTCAATAGGAACCTCTGTGCTTCCCCAGCTCCTGGCTTTGCCTCCAGGCTCTGCACACACAGCCAATTTGGCCAGCACAGGGACAGATGGTGGGTGAGGAGGGCAAGGCCCTGCTCCCAAAACACTGCAACGGTTGACGGTGTTTCCCACCTCACCTCACCGGGAGTTTGGCCCTAGGGACAAACCTGGGGAGCTTCTCAAGGTTGCAGAGAGGTGAGCTGCCCCCCTGGCCCGCCTGCCATCTCTCCTGCTCTCCCCGCTCTCTCCCGGCTCGTGTTTGCCCAAGGGAGGCAGGTAAGGAGGAACGTTTGAAACTCATTTTTGGAAACCTTTGGAAAACCTTTGGAAACCTCCCCATTTTGTCTTGAAACCACCACCCGTGCCTGGAAACCCG